TATATATATATATACCTCGCCGGGTGTTGCGTTAGCTGGCTGAGTGCCGCTATGGCCGTGGGCGAAGGAGTCGTCCCCAGTCAGTGATGTATTTAACCAAGTAAGGTTATATCTAAATCTAATATACTTCTGGAAGCGAAGACTAGCTCGAGGGTCTGGGTAGCGTAACTGGTAAGCGCGCCGCACGGCAAGCGGAGGCTGCGGGTTCGAGTCCCGCCCCGGGCCAGTTCTTTTATTCCAGAAGATTCTAAATTTATTTATTGATTTATTTATTTAATTATTAATTTACTTAAGAGATGGCGCCTAACGTCTACCTCTAGTGTCAAATTACTTTATTCCAATCATTTAATTAGCCGTATTATAGCCCGATATTTAGGCGATCGTTTGGTGATGTATTTACTACTCGGGCTATGAGTTGTTGATATTTATAGACGTAGGTATATTTTCATTTTAAATATTTATTTTATTTTGATCAGTTTTTATTCCAAAAGTGTTCCTGAATGTGTTTGAATTTTAATATTTGAAAATAAAAAATTTTTTCTTATTATATATAAGTTAGTTATATGAAATGCTTCTCATTTGACTATTCATTGAAATTGTGAAGAAGTAATTAATAGTAATAAAATCCAGTTTTAATTTTGGACTTTAATTAATAGTGAATATATTGAAATATATATACAAACACAATAATTTTGTTTTAATGGAACACAGGACATTGGATTTTTTGAAATAATAGACTTCTGCTCCAGCTAAAGAGAGGTTAATTAAAAGAATAAAGAAGTTCTAATCTTGTCATCTTTTTGATTGTGATGCAATAAGTCTTTATTAATAGCCAAATTGGTAGCTATATTGATAAAAGAGAAAAAATATTGTAAAAGCTTTATGTCCTTTAATTATTATAAGTTATAATATTTTCTTCAATTTGATTGTAGCTGATCATTTGACCAGTTTTTATATTAATATTTCTTCTGGTGTGCTGAAAAATATTTTTAATTTTATTTATTTATTTTAAGGTAATTAGAATTCAGACTAATAATCTATCAAGTTGTGGAGTATGAAATTTTTGTTGTTAACTGAAAATTGTAAGAAAATTTTCAGTAGCATCCAACTAATATTTCAGGTTGATCTACTTAAAATTTTTATCGGGAGAACACTGAAATGAGATAAATTAGATTTTAACCATCATTATCTCTGTAAATGCAACATTACATAAAGATAAATTAGTTTATAACAGAAAAATTTTATACAATATTAAAAGAGATCACATAATGATTTATAGTTTATAAGAATAGAAATATATTCTTTTTCTTGAATTGGTAATAACATTTCTAAGCTTGATAATATACTGTTGTTATTTTAAAGTTCAAGAGATTAATCTATGAAATTATAAATTAATTTTTCATTTTTAAAAATTTCTAAACAATATAATAAATTTTTAATTTATTTCAGGTATTTCTGCTTTATAACAGAATGCAAAGATCCAAAAGCATGTACAATTGTTCTCAGGGGTGCCAGCAAAGATGTTCTGAATGAAGTAGAGCGAAATATTCAGGATGCTATGTGTGTAACTCGAAATGTGATGTTGGATCCTTACCTGGTTCCTGGTGGTGGTGCAGTTGAAATGAGTGTGGCTCAGGTACATAAATGATTTATTATGGTGGCATTTTTTGCTGTTTATATTTAAACTAATTATCTTTCAGATTTTGAAAGAGAAAGCTAAAACAATTACTAGTGTTCAACAGTGGCCCTATCAAGCAGTAGCAAGAGCATTAGAAGTAATACCTCGTACTCTTATTCAAAATTGTGGTGGACACACAATTCGAACCTTAACTGCTCTTCGTGTAAGTACCAAACAACTTGTAAAAAAAAATTAATTCATAGACAATAATGAAGTATATTTTGTTTGAACTAAATAAGACTGTTTATTACATTTTCAAATATTATTATAAAATATAAAAATGTTATATGCATATTTCTTTTATTTACATAATAGTAATTCTCAGATAGAAATGTTTTAATTGTCTTTTAAAATCACTAAAATATATTCTTGAAGTTGAAAAAAATTTTTCTTATTTATATTTTTGGAGATTTACATGAACTCTAATTTATTTCATGAAAGATTTTTTAGCTATATATAAAAAACAAACACTTTTATAGTTTTTTTAAATATTTATTATGAGATTTTCAATTTCACTTTTTTCAGTTAGAATTAATTGAAAAACATTATATATTAGATTCATTTTTATAGCATTGTTTTATTATGTTTTTTAACATCAGAGGTATCAGAGTCACATACAAAGTTGAAGTTTGTCCCTTGTGATCAAAAAGTGTTGGGTCCCTTGTGATCAAAAAGTGGTTCAGCAAACATCAAAATTTATTTCATTTTCTTCAAAGTATCCTCTTCCACTGCAATGCACTTATGCTAACATGTTTTCCAATCTTTGAAACAATCTTTAAAGTCATTTTGTGAAACCTCTTCAGGACTTGCAGTGAATTTTCTTTTATGGCATAAGTTGACTCAAAACAGGGACCATGAAGTGGAAATTTTAATTGAGGAAACAGAAAAAAGTCACACAGTGTCATATTGGGTGAATACAGAATTTGTGGAACTGTATTTGTTGAATTATTGGTCAAAAATTTATGAAAAACAAGCATTGTGAACAGATACATTATTTTGGTGCAAAATCCATGAGTTTTCTTGCCACAAATCAGGTCATTTTTTATGAATTGATTCATGCAAACATCAAAAAACACTCAAATAATTATTCTTTGTTGACAGTTTGGCTAGTTGAAAGGAATTTATGATGCATGAAACCATGACAATTGAAGAAAACAGTCAACATGACCTTGATTTTTGATTGACTTTAATGTGGTCTTTTTGGTCTTGCTTCACCTTTTTGAGTGCCATTCACTTAATTGTTTTGGTGTTAAAAGTAAATCCATGTTTCATCACTTGTAATACTATGTTTAAGAACAATTTGCCTTGAGAAAGCATTCCTCTACCACTTGAACACACTGTTAGAAAAATTCAATGTTTTTAGTGACATGCCACAAGCCCAGATGATCTTTTGAAATTGCTTGACAAGATCTGAATGATACTGGACCCATATTCAGTGATGTGCCTAATTGTTAAATGATGATCATTCAGCACCAAATCTCCGACTTGAGTGCATGTTGTTCATCAGTTGAAGTGGATGGTCTACCAGAGCATGGTTCATGTTCAATGCATTCTCTGCCTTCCTTGAACATCTTGTAACACTACTACTATTTTTGTAGACTGTTGCCACCAAAAACTTTTTGCAACATTTTTGATGTTTTTGTAGTAGTAATTCTGTTCTGAAAACAAAATTTAGTACACTTAAATTACACTCAATTATGCCCAATTACACTCAACATTTAAAAAATTGCCAGGAAAAAATTCTTTACACACAAAACAAGCATTTATTTGCAAATGAAAGTAGGCAAATGACATATAGATTGCTGCTAGATGTCAGTGAAAGTTGTACTAAATGACAACAGCACCCTCTTGCATGCACACAGTTTAAAAGAATCATTTTTGATAGTTATTGATCACAGTAGTACAGTAGAGCCTCAATTATCCAACTCAATTAGGGACTGGGGTTGGTCGGATAACCGAAAAGTATGAAAAAATCCATTATTAGTGTAGTATATTATTATATCCCATGTAATTAGTATATTAGTATATCGCTATTAACCTACTTCGCGTTGAATTTTCATCGATGTTAAGACTAACAAAAAATTTTTTAAATAATAATCGTCGCTATTGTATCGTTAAAAATTAGAAAATTAAGCCTCGTTTAAATACTGGCTCCCTTTCGTGGTCGAATGAGTGTTGCCAGTTAAAACACATAAAAATAATATTAAAGTAGCCAAGACATAGCCAAATATTGTAGTGCCACATCACTAGCGGACATTTAAAATTTGCCAACTAGGATGGTCGGTTAACTGAGGTGACGGTTAATCGGGGGTCGGATAATTGAGGCTCTACTGTATTTATAATGAATGAAAAAGTTGTTTTCATAATATAATATCTTGTCTGTACTTTACATTTCCAGTTCCTATACAAACGCTTTCTTATTGGTGAAATAAACATTTCTATTGCAATCATCATTAAATTTTTCTTAAAACAATTTCTTAATCATTCAATTTATATNAAATAATAATCGTCGCTATTGTATCGTTAAAAATTAGAAAATTAAGCCTCGTTTAAATACTGGCTCCCTTTCGTGGTCGAATGAGTGTTGCCAGTTAAAACACATAAAAATAATATTAAAGTAGCCAAGACATAGCCAAATATTGTAGTGCCACATCACTAGCGGACATTTAAAATTTGCCAACTAGGATGGTCGGTTAACTGAGGTGACGGTTAATCGGGGGTCGGATAATTGAGGCTCTACTGTATTTATAATGAATGAAAAAGTTGTTTTCATAATATAATATCTTGTCTGTACTTTACATTTCCAGTTCCTATACAAACGCTTTCTTATTGGTGAAATAAACATTTCTATTGCAATCATCATTAAATTTTTCTTAAAACAATCGAAGCTCTACTGTATTTGATTTAATTTTAACCTAAGCCAAAAGCATCACAAGTAATTGATTTTCATGTGTGTGAAGTGAATCAAAACTCAAAATCATTATATTTTAAATATAACATTGACAAAATTTGTCTGTGGTGGATAAGTTTTCTTTAACAAATTAAATATATCAATTTTGCTAGATGATGCATGTCCAAATTTGAAGATTGACAAAATTTGGTAAGTTAGAATTTATGTTGCTGCAACAGAGAGGACTTAAAAGTTTATATTTCAGATTTGGGTAATGCCAGGTTTACATTGGCATATGAACCATTAGGAAGTGGATAAGAACTGCCAGCTTGTCCTCTTGAAACTAGTTATCAGGGGTTGAAGATATCTCAGCTTCTGTCAAACTTCGGTTTGTTCAACCAACTTTCACATCTAGAATTTGTTTATCCAATCATCAGACAGCAGGAAAAGTTATATAATAATAATTGTTGTTATTATAATTATTATTATTATTATTATTGAGGATATGTGGCAATACAGTATCACTAGTTGATTAACAGTAGTGTATTATATTTCTAAACCAATTATGTAAGGTTTAAATTAATCTATAAGAATTATCAATTGTTAAGAATCAATCTATCTATCTAAATATCAATCTGTATGAAATATCAATTGTAATAACAACAAGTAAAATTTCCTTGATCTCTTAAAAACACCCTTTAGGTTTGAGGAAAACTTTTTAGAATTGAAGAATGTGAACTAATCTTTTTGACTAAAGCTGTGGTCACACCATGCGATTTCCAACTGCGCAGGAAACTGCAACAGCAACAAGTGCGTATTCTCATGGTCACACATTGTTCACTGGTGTTGCAACTCAGAAACGCATGATACTATAATAAATCAATAAAATTACAGTAGCTTGTTTTAGACTTCTTTCATGAGTTTAGCTATACTAAAAACAATCAACATTTTATATCCAGAAATCTAAAAGTGGTACTTATAATCAATGCTGAGACTTTCACTTATCTTATACCATGTCTGTGCTCTTTTATCCTTTCTTCGATAAAACAAAGAATTAAAATCCCACAGGCATTTGTGAGACTGAATTAGCTTGATTAATCTTGATTCTGTTAAACTATCCATCACCTTGCTTTCTGCCATTATTTTCTAAGTACAGTATTTTCAATGTTGCCACCATATGACATGGAAAATAGACATTTGCTGATTAGATGCACATTTGCAATCGGCGCAAGTAGAACAAACTTTTTATTTCTAGTTGTGGTTGCAGTCACGCTGGTTTTCGAAGGGGTTTACTAGTTAATGAGAATAGCCGTCACACTTGCAGTTGGCTGCATGGCTGGAAATTGCATGGTGTGAGCATGGCTTAAGTTAAGAGAGAGACTTTTACAAAAAGGCATTAATTAAAGACGTTTAAAGAATGTTTTATTTGATGCAAGTGCTTTCGAGGCAGTAATTGGTGTCGTCCTCAGGCAGAAACAGAATTGGACAAAACTTTCCAAACAGGTTTTTTAATTGAAAAAAAGGAATGGCAATAACAGTTTAGAACATAACTACATTTAGAACAAGAAATCTTAAAGTTTTAAATTGAAGTACGTGTAACAACTATGCGCATGTGTCATAATACACAGATAAAGCGCTTGCAGCAAATAAAATGTTCTTTAACTTATATGTCGAAATTTTTCTCCATTGCGTGTGGCTGCGATGTTAAATTTTTGTCGATGTTAAGTCTAACAAAAAAAAGTTTTTTTAAATAATAATTATGGTTACTGTATCGTTAAAAATTATTCTTTTATTTTGCACAAACAAAATAAATATATTGAAAAATATGAAAACAAAAAAAAATTATATTTTGAAAGTTTGTTTTAATATAAAAATTATGATGCATAGCGACATCTAGTATCAAAAATGTTCTGATGCAAAAACGAGTATATTTGGGGTCAATGGGTCGGGTCAAATGAGGTCAACACGAAAATACACGGGAACAACACAGGACAGGTGTAAAAGTTTCTCTCTTAGTAAAGCTATTGGCATGACATTCACTGTACGACTTTGGTTATAATCTTTTTGACCAGTCACATTCTTAGTTTGTGCCACATGGTACTATGCAAACAACAATTAGAGTTTGTTTTGTTTGTTCATTTATAGCAGTTCATATGCCAATGTGAACCTAGCTTTAACGAAGCAAATTATTAGGAGCTGACATAGTCTTTATGAAAAATGTTGCAATAAAAGAAATTTTAGTTTGGTGAAGCTTGTATATTTTTCTTTCTCCA